CGATTAAATCGATTTATATATATATATTATTGGAATCGTTTCATTCGCGAGGAGCCGTATGAGATGAAAAATCTCATGTACGGTTCTGTAATAGAGATGGAATTGAGAAACAACCATCAACTAGAACCCCAAAAGAACCAGATTTCGTAAACAACATAGAGGAAGAATGAAAGGAATATCCTATCGAGGTAATAATATTTGCTTCGGAAGATATGCTCTTCAGGCACTTGAGCCCGCTTGGATCACGTCTAGACAAATAGAAGCGGGACGGCGAGCAATGTCACGAAATGTCCGACGAGGTGGACAAATATGGGTACGCATATTTCCAGACAAACCAGTTACAGTAAGACCCACCGAAACGCGTATGGGTTCGGGAAAAGGATCTCCCGAATATTGGGTATCTGTCGTTAAACCTGGGAAAATACTTTATGAGATGGGTGGGATATCAGAAAATATAGCCAGAAAGGCTATTTCTTTAGCAGCCTCAAAAATGCCTATACGAACTCAATTCATTATTTCAGGATAATAATGAAAACCAAAGGAAAGAGGGCTTTAGGATGAAAACATAAAAATGCAATTGTAAGTTCCTTATTTTTGAACACAGAATATTTTTTTTTACTTCAATCTTTGGACTGAAAGAACAAAAAAATGATATGATTCAACCTCAAACCTATTTGAATGTAGCTGATAACAGCGGAGCCCGCGAATTGATGTGTATTCGAATCCTAGGAGCTAGTAATCGACGATATGCTTATATTGGTGACATTGTTGTTGCTGTAATCAAGGAAGCAGTACCAAATATGACCTTAGAAAGATCAGAAGTGATCAGAGCTGTAATTGTACGTACTTGTAAAGAACTCAAACGTAGCAACGGTATACTAATTCAGTATGATGATAATGCTGCAGTTGTCATTGATCAAGAAGGAAATCCAAAAGGAACTCGAATCTTTTGTGCAATCGCACGGGAATTGAGACAGTTAAATTTCACTAAAATAGTTTCATTAGCACCCGAGGTATTATAAAATTATAAGGCAAAACCGTGATATGGATATATTTGTTTTGTAATGAAAATGGATTAATTAATATATTATATCTCACACATATCCCTTTTGTAGTAATTATTCTAAGTATTAGAAATAACAATTATTATCTATTTCATATTAATATTGGATGATCTAAATGAAATATATTGGATGATCTAAATGAAATAATGAAAAAAAATAGAAAAACGAGCATGTTGATTATATTGAAAATAAGGAGCAACAATCATTTTCGTTTATCATGAGTAAGGACACCATCGCTGACATAATAACCTATATACGAAATGCTGATATGAATAGAAAAAAAATGGTTCAAATACCATTTACTAACATCACCGAAAACACTGTGAAAATACTTTTACGAGAGGGTTTTGTTGAAAACGTCAGAAAACATAGGGAAAGCGACAAATATTATTTAGTTTTAACTCTACGGTATAGAATAAATAAGAAAGGATCATATAAAAGTTTTTTAAATTTAAAACGGATCAGTACACCTGGTCTGCGAATATATTCTAATTATCAACGAATCCCTAAAATTTTAGGAGGCATGGGGATTGTAATTCTTTCAACTTCTAGGGGTATAATGACAGATCGAGAGGCTCGATTAGAAAAAATAGGCGGAGAAATTTTATGTTATATATGGTAATCTTTCTGAAATACGAATTAGATGAGAAATTTCTATCCATTTTTGTCAAAAAGAGAGAGAGAAAACACAGATTTAGAATATCACCCACCCCTCATATACTAGTGAATGTGCGAAGGGGGTTTAACTGAAACTGGAATTGGAAAAAAAAAAAGAAAAAATAAAAAGGATTCAAGAGGATTTAATTCCTGAATGAATAAATTCCCAGGGGTATGTTTCAGATTCCTTTATATAATCAAAATTGAATTATAAGCTATGTTTTTCAAAAGATTCGACGTACTTTTTATATGTTTATATGTATACGCCCGTAGAAAAAAAAAAGAAGCATAAAAAATTCAATTTAATTAGACTGTTTTTTAATTTCAACAATCTTTTTTTTTGGGGGGGGGTACAAGTTCAAAATGTAAGGAAACCTTATTTTCTTCCAATAAATAGATTTGGTATTAACTTATTAAGGAATTACAAATATGAAAATAGGGGCCTCCGTCCGTAAAATTTGTGAAAAATGTCGATTAATTCGCAGGCGAGGGCGAATTCTAGTAATTTGTTCCAATCCAAAACATAAACAAAGACAAGGATAATATTTCCACAAAAGAGGATTTTCTATAAAAATAGAATATAAAAATATTAGAATATATATTTTATAAAATATTAGAAGAAATTTTTTATTATTGGTATTTCCAATTTGAAATTTTATTTCAAAAATTCATATTCGATGTCGATTAATATAAAATACAATTGATATATATAAATCGAATATGAATTCTAGTTAGAAACTAGTTAGAAAAAAGTAAAGGATCCGTTTTTGAATGAAATGGATATATCCATATATCTCGGACTTATTTTTATGAAATAATCAAATATGGCAAAACCTATACCAAAAATGGGTTCGCGTAAAAATGGACGTATTGGTTCGCGTAAGCATGCTCATAAAATACCAAAGGGAGTTATTCATGTTCAAGCTAGTTTTAACAATACTATTGTGACTGTTACAGATGTACGTGGTCGGGTTATTTCTTGGTCCTCCGCCGGTACTTGTGGATTCAAGGGTACACGAAGGGGTACACCATTTGCCGCTCAAACCGCAGCAGGAAATGCTATTCGAACAGTAGCGGATCAAGGCATGCAACGAGCAGAAGTCATGATAAAAGGCCCCGGTCTCGGAAGAGATGCGGCATTAAGAGCTATTCGTAGAAGTGGTATACTATTAAATTTTATACGGGATGTAACCCCTATGCCACATAATGGATGTAGGTCTCCGAAAAAAAGACGTGTGTAAAATTAAAAATAAACATGGAAAAGATTTCAAGAGAAATAAACAATTCAAGGGTTTGATCAAATATATATATATTACTATGGTTCGAGAGAAAATAAGAGTATCAACTCGGACACTACAGTGGAAGTGTGTTGAATCAAGAGTAGACAGTAAACGTCTTTATTATGGACGCTTTATTCTGTCTCCACTTATGAAAGGCCAAGCCGATACAATAGGCATTGCAGTGCGAAGAGTTTTGCTAGGAGAAATAGAGGGAACATGTATTACACGTGCAAAATCGGAGAAAATACCACATGAATATTCTACCATAGTAGGTATTCAAGAATCAGTACATGAAATTTTAATGAATTTGAAAGAAATTGTATTGAGAAGTAATCTGTATGGAACTCAAGACGCATCTATTTGTTTCAAAGGTCCTGGATATATAACTGCTCAAGACATCATTTTACCACCTTCTGTGGAAATCATTGATAATACACAACATATAGCCAACCTAACAGAACCTATTAATTTGTGTATTGGATTAAAAATTGAGAGGAATCGCGGATATCGTATAAAAACACTAAAAAACTTTCAAGACGGAAGTTTTCCCATAGATGCTGTATTCATGCCTGTTCGAAATGTAAATCATAGTATTCATTCCTATGGGAATGGGAAAAAAAAACAAGAGATACTCTTTCTCGAAATATGGACAAATGGGAGTTTAACTCCTAAAGAGGCGCTTTATGAAGCCTCTCGGAATTTGATTGATTTATTTATTCCCTTTTTACATGCAGAAGAAGATCCCTTTCATTTAGAAAAAAATCAACACAAGGTTACTTTACCCCTTTTTACTTTTCATGATATATTGGCTAAGGATAAACTGAGGAAAAATAAAAAAGGAATAGCATTGAAATCCATTTTTATTGACCAATTAGAATTGCCTCCCAAGATCTATAATTGTCTCAAAAGATCCAATATTCATACATTATTAGAACTTTTGAATAATAGTCAAGAAGACCTTATGGAAATGGAACATTTTCGTGTAGAAGATGTAAAACATATATTAGACATTTTAGAAATAGAAAAGCATTTCGCATAAATTTGAAATCCATTGGCATTGGTTTTTTTTTTTCATATTTTTATTATTTATAAAAATAAAGGTGAAAATGTGTAATTTGAATCCTTAGAATAAATCCATATACTCGGAATAGGCCAAAAGATGTATCTAGGGATTAGTCGTTTCAAAATGAATTCTCCCTAGATACACAATATACATGGCATGATATTTTATTTCACAATTGAATCCATTTAATTAAAAAGTTTAAAAAAGACCTAAAATTAGAGATTTCTCAATAGGTAATGTTGCTCCAATACCCAACCAAAGGGCTACTATGGTACCAATTAAAAAGATGGTTGTTGCTACTGGACGGCGAAATGGGTTTTGGAATTTATTAACATTTTCCAAAAAGGGTACTGTTAATAATCCCATAGGTACCGAAACCATTAAAAGAACGCCTAATAACTTATTGGGCACTGTACGAAGTATTTGAAATACGGGAAAGAAATACCATTCGGGTAGTATTTCCAAAGGAGTTGCAAATGGATCCGCGGGTTCTCCAATCATTGATGGTTCTAGAACCGCTAATCCTACGTTACAGGCAATAGTACCCAGAATTACTACTGGAAAAATATATAAAAGATCATTGGGCCATGCAGGTTCTCCATAATAATTATGACCCATTCCTTTAGCCAATTTAGCTCTTAATACAGGATCATTCAAGTCAGGTTTTTTTGTTATTAGGATAGGTGAATTCTTATAGATCCATCCTCCGAAAGAACCGGACATGATAATTTTTCATCATCCGGCTCGAGCACGAATCAAACATTTCGAATGTATCCATAGAAAAAATGCATATGTTATCCACACATATAGAAAGATTCCATGTAAGAAAATAAACCTTATTTTCTTCTCCGAAGTTACAATTATCTTATCTGCAAAAAAAAAAAATTAAGTTCTTTTATTATTAAGTAAACTTAAGTAAACGCTCAATACCCAAGTAGGCTTTCAAAGTGAATAGTGCTTTTTGGGTGATCTCAAACCTTGCAATTCTTACCCCCCCCCAAAAAAAAAATCTTGGAACTTTTTACGTACAAAGGATTTACTTGTTACTAATATAATCTAACCCCTGTTCTTCTTTAGATCCACTTGGTTTACTCCGATAGTATCATAAATCGAGTCAATGCATAGGAAATGAATGCATTTCCATACTATTAAGTTCAGTGAAATAGAGAAAATATAATTCAGATTATCCCACATCACTTTTTTTACTGGATGTTACGGAGCCTGTTCATGCAGGATATGATCGAGTCTGATCATAGAAAAGATTCTTTACAAGTGAAACCAGCCTATCCTCTGTAGGGACGGACCTTGCGTGGTAGTTGGAATAAAGACACATTGAATTGTAAATTCAAATGTGGCAGATAAGAGAAAATCATATATCTGCGTGGCCCAATCAATAGTTCAAGTCACACACTCCCATAATCCATTTCTTCTTCGTAGAATTCCCTTCAACTATTCGTGTATGTAAAAAATAATAATAATCCAATTTTGTTAAATTGAAGGAAAATATCCAAATACATGTCTTATTCTTTTAAATAATCCATATTTGTAGCAATGAAATATATTCCTCCCCCAAATAAGAAATGATTAATTACAAATATCTATGATTCATATTTACTATAAAGGACCAGAAATGCCTTGCTTACGTATCATTGGAAAGTGCATTAACATAAATACGGCAGTAAGAAGAGGTAATACAAAAGTATGCAAACTATAAAAACGAGTCAAGGTGGATTGTCCCACACTAGAACTTCCGCGTAATAACTCTACCAAAGAGGATCCTATTACAGGAATAGCTTCGGGCACGCCTGTTACAATTTTGACTGCCCAATAACCAATTTGATCCCAAGGTAAGGAATAACCAGTTACACCAAAAGATGCGGTCAATACAGCCAAAACTACACCGGTAACCCAAGTTAATTCGCGAGGTTTTTTAAAGCCACCTGTGAGATACACGCGAAATACGTGCAGAATCATCATTAAGACCATCATACTTGCCGACCATCGATGAACTGATCGGATTAACCAACCAAAGTTAGCCTCCGTCATTATATATTGAACAGAAGCAAAAGCTTCAGTAACAGTCGGACGATAATAAAAAGTCATAGCAAATCCCGTCGCTACTTGGACTAAAAAACAAGTAAGTGTAATTCCTCCTAAACAATAAAATATGTTTACATGGGGAGGAACGTATTTACTGGTTATATCATCGACAATCGCCTGAATCTCAAGACGTTCTTCGAACCAATCATAGACTTTATTGAGATAGGTAAACTAAGGTACCCCCCCGAGAACCGTATATGAGAATTTCATCTCGTACGGCTCAAACAAAAATACCCAAATACTGGTTGTAATGAAAACAGATATGTGTAATAGAAAGCTTGAAACTTCTTAACGGAATCCTATGATTCCAATCTTTTCGGAAGATAAGAAAAAATAGAAATCCGAAAACTATTCTTTGTGGTTATAATGCCAAAATATCAAGTCGGCTCACTCGTCTTTATTTACAGTAGGCCTCTTGAATATTCTATTATTTACTTCCATTTTTTATTTGTGTGTAATGTTCTTTTTTTTACTGCTGTTTTCTTAATTATTATTATTGATAGGAATTCTCTTGTTAGGACCATATGAATCAATTAAAAAAAACATCAGATTCGTATCATGACCACGATGATTCAAAAAAAACCTTTAATCGAAGTCCAAAAATTCCCTGAGTAAGAACTGCTGGATCATCACTTATTCAATGAATAGATAGAACAAAGAAACATTTGTCCGTTGATCAAAATAAAGATAATCGACGGAAGTTTTAAATAATTTTCATTTTTCAATTTATTCTTTCAACTCTTTGAAAAGTTTTTTTAAATCCAGTTACGAGGTCTAAATATTTAGTATGAATCATAGTTCTAATATTTTAAGAATATTTTTGATTTTCTATATTCCGTACTCCAGATACTAGAATAAATATCTGACGGGGTAAAATCATCTCTATCAAGATGACAGATCCATTTTTTTTATGTTCTGTACTATCAATAAGATCCATTATAACAAGTCACACACTCATATTCCGGAAATACAGAAACAAAGAAGTTTCACGATCAAACTACCAAATCAAAATGAAATAGGCTAACGATAAAAAACCTAAATGCTTAACCTTAGTTTTCTATTGAAAAGCTAGTTACTTGATTCTTGTGAATCTAATTCATAGAAATTCCGTCCAGTAAAATGGACGAATTATAAATCTCCAAAATAATAGATAGAAATATCGCAAATAGAGCCATTGCAACACCCATCAAAGGAGTAGTTCCCCACCCCGGAGCTACTTTACCATATTCTGAATTTAATGGTTTTAATAAATCCCCTACAATAGTTCGTCTTGGACTAGACTTAGAATTACCCTCAACAGTTTGTGTAGCCATAAATCCTATTTTATATTGATTGAGATCTGTTGACTTTGTATACCATTCCGCTGTAAATATAGGATCTATATCCTATAGATCCATTGTGGTCTTGAAATTTTGGAATTCTAAGAATTTTTAGAATTATAATGGAAACAGCAACCCTAGTTGCCATCTCTATATCTGGTTTACTTGTAAGTTTTACTGGGTATGCCTTATATACTGCTTTTGGGCAACCCTCTCAACAACTAAGAGATCCATTCGAAGAGCATGGGGACTAGTTGAAGTAATGAGCCCTTAATATAATATTGGGGGCTCATTACTTCAATTGAGATAATGAAAAATCATTTCATTTTTTTAGTTGGAACTTTAGGGGGTTCTCTAAAAAAGATAGCGAAAAAAATGATTCCTAAAGTCGAAACTAAGAGGAATGTATAAACCAATGCTTCCATAGATTTAATCGTGGTTTACAATTATAGCTTTCATACCTGTTTATTGTTTATTGGAGCTCATTTCTCGGATAAAGAAAAAAAGTGAAAACAAAGTGTTTTGAGTCGAATCAAGATTTATCTGGTTCTTTATGTCAAATTCAAATCATAACAACAAAAACAAAAAAAGTCGAAAAGGAACAAAAGAATGCTCTATCATACTATCTGTCTTCTTGTAGTTGGATCTCCAAGTTTTTGGAATGCTCCAAATTCTACTTGAGCATCCAAATCTGGGTCGATCCCAGCAAAAACATCTCGGAACAAGGTTCTAGCACCATGCCAAATATGCCCGAAAAAGAAGAGTAGAGCAAACGAAGCATGTCCAAAAGTAAACCAACCTCTTGGACTGCTACGAAAAACACCATCTGATTTCAAAGTAGCACGATCTAATTCAAAAATTTCACCTAATTGAGCACGTCTAGCATATTTTTTCACAGTAGCAGGATCACTATAACTGACTCCATTGAGTTCGCCACCATAGAACTCAACAGTTACACCTACTTGTTCGACACTATATTTCGATTCTGCCCTTCGAAAAGGAACATCGGCTCTAACAATTCCGTCTCCGTCTACTAAAACAACCGGAAATGTTTCAAAAAAAGTAGGCATACGGCGTACAAAAAGTTCACACCCCTCTTTATCTCTAAAGATGGGATGCCCTAACCAACCAACGGCTATTCCATCTCCATTATCCATTGAGCCCGCTCTAAACAATCCCCCTTTTGCTGGATTATTGCCGATGTAATCATAAAAAGCTAATTTTTCAGGAATTTTAGACCAAGCTTCTGATAAACTTTGATTTTCGGCTAGCCCAGCACCAACTCTTCGATATATTTCTTGCTGGAAGTATCCTTGATCCCATTGATAACGAGTGGGACCAAATAATTCAATGGGGGTAGTTGCTGAACCATACCACATAGTTCCAGCAACAACAAAAGCTGCAAAAAAGACAGCAGCGATACTGCTGGAAAGGACGGTTTCAATATTTCCCATACGCAATCCTTTGTATAGACGTTGCGGTGGACGCACACTAAGATGGAAAAGACCCGCTAATATGCCCAATGTTCCTGCTGCAATATGATGAGAAGCTATTCCCCCCGGAACAAAAGGATCAAAACCTTCCACACCCCATGCGGGATTTATGGATTGTACCCTTCCCGTTAATCCATAAGGATCAGACACCCATATTCCAGGACCGTACAATCCTGTTACATGAAATGCTCCAAAACCAAAACAAACCACTCCTGCAAGAAATAAATGAATTCCAAAAATTTTGGGCAAATCCAAAGAAGGTTTTCCGGTACGTTCATCACAAAAAATTTCTAGATCCCAATAAACCCAATGCCAGATAGCCGCTAAAAAGCACAAGCCCGAAAACACAATATGTGCTCCGGCCACACCTTCGTAACTCCAAATACCCGGATTCGTTATAGTCCCCCCGGTGATATTCCAACCGCCCCACGAATTGGTTATTCCTAAACGAGTCATGAAGGGTATAACAAACATACCCTGTCTCCACATTGGATCAAGAACAGGGTCAGAGGGATCAAAAACTGCTAATTCATATAGAGCCATCGAACCAGCCCAACCAGCAACCAGAGCTGTATGCATTATGTGAACAGAAAGCAAACGGCCTGGATCATTTAATACAACAGTATGAACACGATACCAAGGTAAACCCATGAAAATACCCCTTATATCAACAAAAAATAGACACTATGTAACTTTATTGCACTGGAAAAAACTATACTATGGATTCTCACCTTTTACCTTTTAGTAGATTATCTCGGAGAAAGAATTAATGTTTGTTCTAGTTTTTTAGTAATAGTGTTTAGTAATAGTGGAACAATCATATTTGTAGGAACAAGAAGAAGCAGATCTATTCTATACCCGATAAGTAAGAATACGCAATGGTGGGAAGGGGGGGTTGACAATTTTCTCTATGAGTATTTAAATATGTAAATGCAGACATATTCGTTTATCACCCAAGGACCCATTCGTAACAACTTTACTCTATCTTTATCTTTACTCTTCCCTTTTTTATGATTTATAAAAAATACAATATAATAAAAGCAAATTGTTTTTAACACAATAAACCCATTCTTACGTTTCCACACTAAAGTTAAATATATTATTTTATTTTCTTTTTTTCTCTATTTTATGCCCATTGGTGTTCCAAAAGTAACCTTTCGAAGTCCTGGAGAAGGAAATGCATCTTGGATTGATATATAGTGCGACTTGTCAGATATATTTGGTCATACGGGATTTCCCCGTTCTCCCCCCCCGATTGAGATATCCTCTCTTTCACCACCAAAAAAGAATGATTGAATCATCCAAAATTTGGAGCGTGAAGTGTAATGAAGTGCAATTCGATCGATTTTTTATTTTTTGGAGGGGGTATCCAGATTACTATTCGAAATTCAAAATAATTTATGGTTGGCTTGCTTGGACCAATAAAACGAAGTATCCAGACTCTGTTTAGAAAAAAACCAATTGGTAATATATCCACAATTACTACTTCTATCATATCATATATTTTACAGAAAAAATGAAATAATAAATTCAGAGAAGAGATAAGTCGTAACAAAAAGACATGGTATTGTAATATTTGTCCTATATGTGCAAATAAAAATCGGGCAGATCCTTATCCTTACTTAGAGTAGAAAAGAAACCTAAAAGAATTGAGGAAGTCCATTCAGAAACAAGAAAATTACATTGTGATTTGTGTTCGATCTCGATGAAAGCAATACATCAATGAGAAGTTAGTTCAATAAATTTAGTACATTTTTTTTCGTTAAAAATTCGAAAGAGTCCATTATGAAAAGGGAAAGAGGGTTGAAATAGACACATTGATTCCTTTTTGTTTATATGATTTTTAGTGAACCGTATGCATCAAAAGGTGCATGTACGGCTCTTAAGGTATAAGATTAAATCCTAATCAATCGACTTTATCGAGAAAGATTACTTTTTTTAGGCCAAGAGGTCGATAGTGAACTATCGAATCAACTTATTGGCATTCTGCTATTTCTCGGTATAGAAAAATATAACAGAGATGTGTATCTGTTTATAAATTCTCCGGGTGGGTGGATAATACCCGGAATGGCTATTTATGATACTATGCAATATGTACAACCAGATATACAGACAATATGTATGGCATTAGCCGCTTCAATGGGATCCTTTCTTTTGGCAGGAGGAGAAATTACCAAACGTCTAGCATTCCCTCACGCTTGGCGCCAATGATTCTTTTATTTGAGAATATATATGAAGACTATACCTTCGCCATAAAAATACTTAAGTAATAATAGCATGGTACTTCGAATTCGATATACAAATTTTTGTTTTTTAAACCATTTGATTATGTATCGAAAAAGTAGTATGAAAGAGAGGGCTTTTACGATTTTATCTGATCTATCAGGAACCTAGTTTAGTTTTAGTGTCACAGACTTTTTTGTTTTTAGTTTTCATACCAAAAAGCTTTTAACAATATTTATGTCTAACAATATTTATTTTAATTAGAAAATAAAAAACATATGATAAAAAACAAGAAACTTTCGGATTGCTGAATAACAAAAAAGACGAAATAAGAAAACAACGGAACCATCATAGTATTTAAAAAAAATACTCAAAAAGAAAAAGGAAGGTTGGTTATTGTATTATTTATTATTTAAGGATCTGGATCCAAAAAACCCAGTAGATTTTCTATTTTTTTTTCTTCAATGGAAAAAAATCCATAGAGAAAATACTCTATCCATAGAGGAAAAAAAGAAATTGCATACGTGGAAAAGAAAAGCCGTATGCATCAATACGCAAAAAATGCTTGTACGGTTATTGAATCTTATCTTTGCTCATTTATTTTCTTATTTGTATTTATTCTTTTCACCTTAGTTTGAGGACGAAAGAAAATATTGACTAATATTGGGAAAATCCGCATCAAAATCTTTATCAAGATAAAGAAAAGACTTATAAAGTTATATAATCAGGGTAATGATCCACCAACCCGCTAGTTCTTTTTATGAGGCACAAACGGGAGAATTTATCGTGGAAGCGGGAGAACTACTGAAACTGCGTGAAACTATCACAAGGGTTTATGTACAAAGAACGGGTAAACCTTTATGGGTTGTATCTGAAGATATGGAAAGGGATGTTTTTATGTCAGCAGCAGAAGCCCAAGCCCACGGAATTGTTGATATTATAGCACTTCAATAAACAATTAGTAACTAAGATTCTTCTCAAAAAAAAATACAGGATTTGAGATTGAATTTTATCTCCTTAATCCTTTTAATTTAATATAACTTTTTTTTTCTATTAATTAATCTATTAAATTAATAAAATATAAGTAATTCATAATCATCGGGTTAGGATTGATCTAAACCGGCTCATTATGTCTATAGGATCCACCATGCCAACTATGAAACAACTTATTAGAAACACAAGACAGCCAATCCGAAATGTCACGAAATCCCCCGCTCTTCGGGGATGCCCTCAGCGCCGAGGGACATGTACCAGGGTGTATGTGTGACTCGTTTAGATCATTCTACTAATAAAAAAAAAAAGAAACCAAACCCATTTTTTCAGTATTAGCGATCAGTTAAGATAGTGTGAATGGAAGAACTCCATTCACACTATCTTAACTTAAAAAAAAATCTATTAATAATATAAGCATTCTTCTATCATATATAAAATTTATGATTTCGATTGGTGTAAACCCAATCACCCCAATTTGCAATTTAAGATGAGAAACACTTTTCCATTGGTAACAAATGGTTACCCACTAAGCGGAGAAAATACTATTAAAGAAAAATTATGCCCCTAATTTATTTTGCAAAAACGGAATAAGAAGGTCAGTTACCCAGCTAATTTTCATACTTAAACACCGTTACTGTATAACTTGATTTCGTTGTAAAAAACCTATTACTAAATATTTCATGGGTAGAGCCAAAGAATGTGAACTGTACAAGTTAACAATAACATTGATTAAATAAGGATTAAATGAAAGAAGGGGCTCCGGTGTATAGAGAGGACCTAGTCGTTTAAAAAAGAATCATAGAAACGATGGAACCCATTCTTTTTTTTATCTATATCCTATTTAATTTACTATGTTTTTTGATACCTAGTATCAATACAATTTCTTATTTCAAAGTTAAATTAAATACTTAGAAAAAAATCGTGGTTGGGAAGGTTATAGTAGCAAAAGCCATTGGAATTTTTTTTTTATACATTGGAAGAATCCATCTTTGTTATTAATAGACTAGGAAGAAGAAAAGAATAACTGAAAGAAAAAAATGAAATAGTTATTCACCAAAGTCTCATTTACTCAATGACCAGAATTAAACGAGGATATATAGCTCGGAAACGGAGGACAAAAATTCGTTTATTTACATCAAGCTTTCGCGGGGCTCATTCAAGACTTACTCGAACTATTCCTCAACAGAAAATTAAAGCTTTGGTTTCGGCTCATCGGGATAGAGATAGGAAAAAAAGAGATTTTCGCGGTTTATGGATTAGTCGAATAAATGCAGTAATTCGCGAGAATCCAAAAATATACTATATTTACAATAATTTCATCTATAATCTATACAAGAAGCAATTGCTTCTTAATCGTAAAATAGTTGCACAAATAGCTATATTAAAAGAGAATTGTCTTTTTATGATTGCCAACGAGCTCATAAAAACTAAAATTTCCCGGAGACTGAGCTCCGGGAAGGTATAGAATAGAGATTTGTATGATAAAATTAGAATTCATATGATAAAGTGATCAAAATAAACAACCAAGCTGAATCAAAAAAAGATTTATTCTTCTTAACGGATTATCCTTTTTATTACAATATAACAACCCAAATTGAATTGTTGGAGTTTTCGAACAAAACATCAATCCACGTTTGATTTGAGTTTAGATACAAATTTGAATTCAATTAAGGAGTAACTCTATTTTTTTTTTTTTTTAAAACAGTAGCAGTTCTAGCAGTCGACTCGCTTTTTTCAAATTGTTTTTCATTATTAAGAAAAGGTAACGAAGATAAAATACGAGCTTGTTTTATAGCAATCGTAATTAATCGTTGTTGTTTTAAGGTCAATCTATTCACGCGTCTAGATATTATTTTTCCTTGTTCACTAATAAATCGACTAATTAAACCCATGTTTTTATAATCAATTTGGTCCCCCGATTGAATCGGGGGCAAACGTCTACGAAAAGATCGCTTGGATTTAAGAAAGAGTCGTTTAGATTTATCCATGGTTTGTTTATTCCTATTCCAAAAATCGCATTTCTTAAAAGAAGATTTGTTTTTTTTTCTTTCTATTCTTAGTTTCTTTTTTTTTTTTGTTTTATAATGAAATATATGTTTTATAATGAAATATATGTTCTATAATGATATATGTATATAATTTAATTAAAAATTATATACATATATGAAAGATTGTTTTATTACATGTTATGTTCCTTGGTTAGAAAGGTAACACATAAGCGATCAATTTTCTCTATTTCTTGATTTCTGCGTGAATCGTGTGTTTGCAACAACAGGGACAGAATTTTCTCAATTCCAACCGACTAGGCGTATTGTGTCGATTCTTTTGAGTAATATATCTGGAAGTACCCGTTGATTCCTTATTAACACTCTTTTGATCACAACTGGTACATTCCAAAATAACAGTTACTCGGATATCTTTACCCTTGGCCATGAACCTCTCCTTTGGGTTTTTAATTCACTTAACTCTTCTATTTTCGAAGTCGAAGCGAAGAAGAAAAAAGGAACGAAAAATATTAAAAGTTAATAATTCGAAATAAACTTCTGAAAGATTTCGTTCCAATTAATGTAGTACAGTAATCATTAAGTAATATAATGATTTGGAACTATATTTTGTTTCGAATCGCAGTACAATATTTTAGTTTTCATTTAAGTATCTTGTATGATATTTTGCCCCCTTCCTATCCATTCCATTTTTATTTTTGGTCTCACTCTATTTATTATTAATAGAAATGGAATGAAATTCTTAATTCAATTCCATTGAAGCCTAGACCAGATTCCGAGTTTCACTGAGGCTGAATCCACTTTTATCTTTTCTAATTGAAAAAATTTTCATTCTCAAAAATAAGAAATAAAGAAGAGGGAATTAATTAATTAATTACAGATATTGAATTGATTTTCTTCACCCCTTCCCGTGCTGTGCCAATAACTAGAATGAAAAAAAGGGGAATATCAATGCATCTGGGAAAAAACGATTGATCTCTATCAAGAGACCCGCCAAAGCCCCGAACCATAGAGTACTTATTACTGGTGCCACGGAAAGATATGTTTTTAGATCTCGCATTTCAAATCCTCCTTTTTTAGAATATTTTCTTTTTATTTGATTCTAGTATTTATTAATTTGATTCTAGTATTTATTAATATTATTTATTCTATTTTTCATAAAAAATATTTAACTATATTATATTAATATTATTATATTAATTACGAATAATTCGTTTATTTAATAAACGAATTATTTTCTTTTGAATTTTTTCATTATTCTATTTTCTATTCTATATATTCTTTTTTTTTTCTTTATATACATATTATTCTTTATTCTTATTATACTTTCTATTTTAAATTCTATTTTTATTCTATTTTTTAATTTAATTCAATATTCTTTCTTTCTTCTATAGAATATTTCTTTTTCATATTCTATTCTATATTATAGTCTAGGAAACTAAAAAAAAAAGAAAAATGATAGGATAATTGATATGTATATCAACGAAGAAAAGAAAAATGTGGAAAATAAGACAAAGATTCTTTATAATGATACTGGAAACCAATGGAAAGGGATGTAGCGCAGCTTGGTAGCGCGTTTGTTTTGGGTACAAAATGTCACGGGTTCAAATCCTGTCATCCCTATCCCTAACTATTACTTATTATATGATATCACTTATCATATGAGCAATAATAAGGGATCATATAAAATAATTTATGAGAATAAAGCGCTCTTAGTTCAGTTCGGTAGAACGCGGGTCTCCAAAACCCGATGTCGTAGGTTCAAATCCTACAGAGCGCGATTCCATTATTATTAAATTGAGAATTACACTGAAATAATTGAGCAGCAGTCTAAAGTATGAATTTATTGAACCCCAGTATTAAAACAAATAAATAGGGGATCAATAAACAAATGAGACATTAATTAATCAAAGGTCCAGCTGATCACCTCGTCGGTATTGTAAATATGCAGTTACAAATAAGCCAGCTAAAGTAATAGGAATTAAACCTAACACGATTCCAAATAGAAAAACTTCAATCATTTTTTTTGTTCGAAAGGGAAAGGGGGAGGTAATATTTATCCTTAAATAATAATCTGTATTGATCATTCATTTTAATTTGAATGACCAAAAATTGGAAATTGACACGGTAAGGAACTATAGAATATCTTGAATATTCCAAGATTTCCAACTAATTTCATAATTTTAAATCAAATAAGTCGTATCTTATTCAGACCGATAAATAGAGCTGAGGTTATAGTTAAAACCGCTAGTAAAAAACCGAAATAACTAGTTATAGTGGGCATAAAGAAGCTAAATGAAATATGTTCTTTTTATACATATGTTTATAAAGCACTTCCCTAAGTTTCCATTTTTGAGAGAAAAAAAAGAAGATAAATCAAAATATCCCTGAAAAGATACAATTGAAAATTTGAGATTTTTCAATCAATTATTACAGACGAACAAAAATAAATATAGTGACATAATAAAAAAATCAATTCATCATCTGTGACATCTACCCATCCTGTGATTCCAAATGAACCGATTTATTGAACAACTCATGAATTGAGTAAAAGTAAACTAATCTAATTAAAATATTCATTTTGATTCTTTATATATATATAAATATTTATATTTGTTATATATATATTCTATAAAATTCTATTTATATTAGAAAAAAAAAGATTCTATTTATATTAGAAACTATAATAATAATTATATGCGAAATATAAAATAATAAAAAAATAATAAGAATTTTGTTGTTCAAATTTATTTAACTTTAAATTAATATGGAAGAAAATAGGAGAAAAAATGTCTATTTTATTTTGACCCCCTTTTTCTATTGTATCTAATTTGTTTTCTTTTCACTTTTTTTTTTCGAACAAAAGAATAGAGTGATCTTAGAATGCCCTTTCCTTTTTGACTTTTCTTTTAACTCATTTCATTTTGTAGTAGGTTCCATTCTTCGAATATCTACAACGAGAAGAAAAAGGTATCAGATCACTCCAAACTAGGGTTCCACAGTTTTTTTCTCTGCATATTTTATTTAAGAGGAAAGGTCTATCCTTATAATTAAGCCAAGAAAGAGCCTTTATTGTGTTTAATACAAGAACAATTAATCCAATTTTTTTTTTTCAAAATTGGATTAATTGTTCTTTTTATGTCATCAAATAGTATCTATTACTGCTATTATTGTTACTTGTTACTGGACAACAAACCAATTCCATTCTTTAAAGTCGAATTCCATTCTTTAAAATGAAAAAAAAGAGGGAGTTCGAACAAAAAATATCTTCGACAACCACAATAAAGTATATTTATAGATTTGGG